GAGTCAAACGCAAAGTCACATGAACAGATATTTACACAAGAGTTTGTACAGTTCATTTGAAAGTCTCTTTGTAGGAGTAACAGCTCTTTTGCTACTGCACGTCCTGAAGGCATAGCAAGCTTTGAAACTCTGCAGAGCCTGTGCTAAGCCAGGCTTTGGTTATCTTCTGTAACAAAGATTCCCCATTCCTCGTTGCACACACACACACACACACACTTTGAGATGGCTCTTTGTAAACTCCCAACTGTCCCACGTGAACCCCCTCACGCTGAATTGCTTTACAGTTCCAGTTCCGCTTATTCTCCTCGCAATCTTCTCCTTGTTAGACTCTCCAGGTATTTTGTTTGAACACGACTGTCCAGCTGCTCCACAGCCTCCTCGCTCCCCAGATTTCCGTTGCTCTTTTCAAGAACTCTGTAGAAAGTTGTGCCAACAGATGCGCTATACTGGCCAAACAACAGGATGTTGTAAATGTCCAACTACTGTGTGCTTTTCATATGGATATGCTAATGGGCAGGCTATCAGCACCGGGCTGTAAATGCAAATAACAGAGCCCAGGCTGAGCATCTTTTATGGGTGTTTAACCACCTTCTGTCTTGTAAGAGACCAGCTCCCTGCTATTTGTAAGATAAAAAGCGAATAGCTCACCTCGTGTCAACGCTGTGTAAATCAATTAAGACAATAAGAGCACAGCACAGAGGCACTGTGAAGGCTGGCTCCAGGAGAAGCCTTTAAGTCACCGATGGGTTTTCTGATCTTGTCCATGGGCTTTCTGATCTGCTCCACAGCATCTGCCAGTTAACCATACACACTCAGAAGGGATGCGTTTTACTTGACTCTGTTATAAGGATTTTTTTAAAAACAACAACAAACTTATGCCACAGTAAACTAAACAATCAAGAAACATCATGGGCTAAAAGTTTTAAACAGCCAAATTATCTTACCAAGCTGCTTTTGGATTTTCTAGTCACCCACCACTCCAATATACCCACCTAAAGTTAACAATACAGTCGCTGGTGGATTTAAGGACATTCCTGGCACCCTGGCTGTGGGTTAAACCAGGGGTGCCAGTGCCCTCAGGCACACAGATGCCCATCTGCCACAGCCTGGCCAAGCAACACAAAGGATTTGGATTCACCTTATCATACCCTGGCTGTGGGTTAAACCAGGGGTGCCAATGCCCTCAGGCACACAGATGCCCGTCTGCCACAGCCTGGCCAAGCGACACGAAGGATTCAATTCACCTTATCACTCCTAGGGCGCAGAAGGAGGTCTGCTCTGTGCAATACACACTTCTGTGCTTCATCCTTTCTGCCTCCAATTCCCTTTCAGTGCACGCTGAACCCTAAGATATTTCACAGGTGAGACTTATCAGAGATGCAGGTACATTAGCTTTAAGTAAAACATTCCCAGTTTTAACTTCCCAGTTATAACTTCATCACAAGTTATATCAACTTGGAGAGTGACTACTGACACTTGTCTCTACAGCACAGGGAAGCGTGTAACTGAATGTCACCTTTTTCAGGATGTTTCATTGTCCATCAGCTTCTTTGCTTATTTTTCCCCTCCATATGATTGTCCTGCTACCTAAAAACAAATAAACAAGAGAGAACCGCCCCCCTGCAGCCATCATAAATACAAAATGGGGCAAATTCTGCTGGCAGAAATTACATTGCTGCTCTCTCAAATAACTGAAATAACAGCATCACAGAATTTGGCTGAAAACAACCAAAATAACGAAACAAATATTGGTTTAGAGGAGTCAAAATGGCTTCAGTCATATAAAACCAACAGCAAATGAAAGTGTTTACTTATGATTTTTATTGGTGTGTACTATGTGTTGTTACACAGCATTAATTGCTGTAATGGTGTAGGAGATGATGTAGCAAGACAATTTGAAGAGAAGAGGTCAGCCATCATTATGAGAGTTCATATGTATAGTATGGTATGAAAGACTCTTATTGGACATATATAAGCACTAAGAGATTTTAGACATCTCTTTTAGCAAAAGAGCATATAAATTTGAATTAGTTATAAAGTTCCCAGCTATCCGCAATTATGATTCTTTAATTGATACAAAAATGAATAAATTAAAAAAGGAGCTGCTTTTAGCTTTAACCCATCTGCTTGAAAGCACCGAGCTGTACTATGACGCAGACACAAATATTAATGACCAACTGGCAATAGGATAATGAGTCAATAAAGATTTTAAATGGTGTGAGCTAGAACAATTACCAAGCTAATAGGCAGATAAATAAGGCTACTTGACTTTACCCAAGGAAAATGATTATTCTTAACCACTTACATTGAATGACCTGAACACAATGTGTTAGGTTGGGGTTTTTTTTCCCCCCTTCCTGGCACTTTTCCATACTCACTTTTGCTGTCCTAAATTTCCACTTCTATGACCACTGTTCCTCCATTGCTGATTGACGTGAAGCTCCTCAGAGCCCACATATGCTAAAAACAACCATCGTGTTCCCAGCACACTCACAATGAAACAAGCCTCATGCACAGAGCTGCAGAGAAGCCCCACGGACATTTCCAATATTTCAAGAGAAAGCCTGGAATATCTTACATTTAGCCCAAGGCCAGAGTTTTACTGTTGTTTCATCAGCATATTTCTGACATTGCCGTGAGTTGAATTGCAGTTTACGTTGCCTCCACATGGGAGTTTTCTGCAAATACAGTGACAAAAGCTATTTAATAACAGCCTGCAACTCAATGGAAAATAAAGTTTAAAAACCTAGGAGGGAAAAAACAATGTGTCAAAACCATCTGGCGAACTGCGATGCAGATACTATTGAATACGTTTGAAGGAATTATTTGATTTCTGACAGTAATTATGTCATTGTTGTTATTTATGTTTGGTTTGGCCACGCTTGGAGGCCTCAGCTACAATCTGGGCTGCCCTGTGACACGCACGGCACAAATCTGGTGTATGTGACCATCTCAGCAGAAAGTGCCAGTCGTCAAGAAAAGAGGGGAGGGTGGTAAGGTGTGTTCTCCTGGAAGATGGGGAGCAGGAGAAGACTCTCCTTCACCGACAGACCGGCTAGCACAGGCATCAGCCCCAGCCTCACTGGGAAGCAATATCACCAGGAGGATTTGAGCGAGACAAGAAGGAAACCCAGGGAAGTTTAATCCTGGCAGAGGCCGCCCTGGCAGTGCCTGCCCCTTTGCAGTCAGAAAACAAGCTGCTCTACACACCAAGGAGAAAATGAAGGCTTTTTCTTGCTACAAACCTTTTCTCTTAGGAAAGCTCTTGCATCCTAAGCCTGTAGCATAGCTACGGAAAGGCACGAGAACAGAAACCACACCAAAATATTCCATGAAGATGACACAGAGGGATGGGAACAGAAATCATACACGATCCCATGGAAAACCCACGTGCCACAGGATTTCAACACAATGTCTTTATAAAAGCAACTTTTCCCTCTACCTAATTTCACCAAATTCCCTCGGAGTGCTGCTCTCCTCTCAGCTGTCCTGGCACCTGCGGCTCCCTCTTGCTGGCTGGGGCCAGCTGAGCACCACGAACAGGCCAAGTACCTCAATAAGCCTTAAACTCACTTCAAACACTGCTTTCTGACAACACTGGAAGCTCTGATCCTGCAGATGAGAACAAAAGATTTATCCAATGATACTTTATGTGCTCGCTACATGCATTTCAAGAAACATGAACATTAAAAAAAAAACCACACAAAAGGAGCAAAGACTTATTTTATTACAAGTGCACCTGTTCTCCAGTTCTGCCTTTTCCATGGTGGTTCCACCAACATTTAGGCACGTATTTAGCTGCATTCATATGATTGATTTTAGTGATTTCAATATTTCTTCCTGTGTATTTCCCTGCTCGATAAAGCACCCACCACAACTGTTTGTGCTGGGTGGCCCCAGAGACAGAAGCCTCAGAGGCACTGGCCAAAAAGGCTCTCAATGTTTCACGCCAGCTCAGTATTTCAACATTTAAAACATTTCAAGTGGGGCACACGCAGCAGCACTCGCCACATCAAACGGATCTGGATTTTCTGCAGCTGGTCAGTGAAACACCACATAGAGCCAAAAGGCTCTTCTGGAAACCCACGACCTCCTCCAGCAGGACAGAGCCACAAATCAATACCTGTCTTTAAACAAAGATGGCCCTGTGGCCATTGCTCTCCTCCGGCCTCATCCTGCTCCTCTGGTCAAGCAGGACCAATACAGACACACTGGCGAGTCAAACAAATTAATTAAAGGTAGTTAATTTAAATAAATTAAATCAGCGCCTGTTTAGCAGTGATTACTCAGCTTGTGTTAACTGGATTACATTGCCCAGTGAAAAGCGAGGGAGTTCACTACCTGTGGGCACCGGGCAGTAACTTGCCACAGCGCTTTGCTTTTGAGTCATTTAACAAGCCGGGCAATCATTAACTGCAGGGCTGAAATTCTGCATTTCTGCTGGGTTGCAACTTCTCTTTAAGAAGTCCCAGCTAATGTGCTGGCAAAGCCAACCAATTTAGAGAAGCCCCATACCAGTGCAGCTGATATTTTTTAAAATGATTACTGGGGGGACATACCAGAGCTCCTACATACTCCTGCTCCTGCTACAGGTGCTAAATCAGTAAAAACAAAACCCAGCGGGATGGGATCTGCCTGGGGTGCTCCCGGCTCCTTTCCTCATCACCCCAGGGCCAGCAGATCCACAGGACACTCTCAATGCTTAAATACACCTAAAAAACACCAATGTGCACCAAAACGTTCGCTTTTGGGGTCACCATCTCACTCAACTTTATACTGCAAAAGGCGGGGGGTGGTGCTGGGCAGTCGGGGGTGGTTTTAAACCCCGATGGCCTTTGGGGGTAGCTCCAAAGCCCACACTGAATGTTTTGGGGTTCCAAGCCCCCACGGCCTCCCCCCGCCCTCAGGCCGCCGGCCCCGCCTCGGCCTCCTCCTCCTCCTCCTCGATCCTTCCTCCCTCCGCCACAGGCGGCGGCCCCGGCCGAGCCGCCTGCACCCACCTGCGCCCCGCCTCCACCGAACCGGCGATGGGCACCCCGCCGTCGCCGCCGCTGTCGTAGAGGACCCCGCTGACATCCAGCAGCAGCCCCCGCACCGCCCGCGCCCAGGCCGCCATCTCTCCCCCTCCTCCTCCTCGCCGGGCCGGGCCAGGCCGTGGGCCCCGCCTCTCATTCAATTATTAATTAAAAAAAAAAAAAAACAAAAACAAAAACAAAACAAACACACCTGAGGCTGGAGCCCCTCTGTTGTGACAACAGGCTGAGAGAGTTGAGGGTGTTCAGCCTGGAGAAGAGAAGGCTCCAGGGAGACCTTAGAGCCCCTTCCAGTCCCTCAAGGGGCTCCAGGAGAGATGGGGAGGAAGTTTTTAGCAGGGTCTGTTGTGGTGGGATGAGGGGTGATGGCTTTAAACTAAAAGAGGGAGGATTTAGATTAGATATAAGGGGGAAATTTTTCACTCTGAGGGTGGTGAGAGCCTGGCCCAGGTTGCCCAGAGAAGCTGTGGCTGCCCCATCCCTGGAGGGGTTCAAGACCAGGCTGGAGGGGGCTTGGAGCAACCTGGTCTGGTGGGAGGTGTCCCTGCCCAGGGCAGGGGGTGGAATTGGATAATCTTCAAGGTCCCTTCCAACCCAAACCGTTCTATGATTGTATGAACCTCTACAGCATGGCAAGTGCCCAGTGTCTCCATCCACACGCCCAGACGACTGCTCCTCACAGGTACAGCGAGTGGCATCTGCCTCTGGGCTGCCAACAGCCCAGCGAATGGGCCAGCAAACAGCAGCGGCAACAAAAGAGCAGCCCAGAGAGTCAGTGGGTGCTGGGGCTCGTTCCTTGTTCCACGATAAACTCCCTCAGATATCACGTCCCTGGGAAAAAAAAATCCATCCTCTGAAATATACACATCACCTGAGTCAGACGCTGTGGAAAGTAAAGGCAGCATGTGCGTCCCTGGGAAAAAAAAATCCATCCTCTGAAATATACACATCATCTGAGTCAGACGCTGTGGAAAGTAAAGGCAGCATGTGAGGAATACACACATGAGGAAGGCATTTTTAACACTGAGGGTGGTTGAGGAATACACACATGAGGAAGGCATTTTTTATGCTGAGGGTGGTGAGAGGTAGCAGACGCCCCATCCCTGGAAACATTCCAGGTCAGGTTGGATGGGGCTCTCAGCAGTAACATTCCTGGTCAGGTTGGATGGGGCTCTGAGTGGCCTGGTCTAGGCAAAAATGTCCCTGCTGATGGCACCAGGGTTGGACTAGATGGTCTTTTAAAGGTCCTTTCCCACCCAAACTCTAGGCAAAAATGTCCCTGCTGATGGCACCGGGGTTGGACTAGATGGTTTTTTAAAGGTCCTTTCCCACCCAAATCTATTCCGTTCCATTCCATCACACCCTGTACCACACTGGGTGCCTCCGTGGGTCTGCAGGAACTGAAGTGGGGCAGGATTTGGCCCTTGGGGAACGAGGCACTGATCCACGGGGCAGCAGGAGCCTGACGAGCCCCACGCCAGCTCAGCCGAAAGGCCAACAGGGCTGTGTCCTGCCTCGATGGTATCTTCTCATACATGCCCAGAGTTTCCTAAAGTCAAGAGAGAAAAAAGTCACTGGCTTGTCATATAAAGAACTGAACAGATCCCCTGCGTTTTACAATCACAGATAAGATTTTATCAACGGTGTTCCAGCTTTACAGATAATACTGTTTTCTTCCTTGATAAAGTCAGAATGCTTTCGCGCTGCTAATACTATCAATAATGTGCCACGACTCCCAGAATATTTAAGGAGCTGCGGTAGAATTACAGCCCACTTTGTTTTAAGAAAAGCAGAGGAGCCTTGGCAGCATTGATTTGCATCACCGTTTCCGGAACAGCCTCTGGCTTCTCCTTAAAGATAGTATCAAAACTGTGAAATTCATTAAATAGACTCAGAAATGGATCAGGTTATTTAAAACAACATCACTAATGGCGCAATATCTCAGCTGTCTCCAGCGATAGTGAACATTGTCTTGGACAGTGTTATCAGCCCTGGACACCCGCTATGAATATTGATCCGCAGCTTGTTACAGCCATCACTTGCCGTCAGGACAGGTCAGGGTTGAAACCCACCTCGCATCAAAGCAATTTAAAGACAGCACTCGGGCTGAATGATAATGCTCGGGCTGGGAAAGGGACCAACTTCAAACAGACTGCTAAATCCAATCCATGAGTGTGTGCCTTGCCGTCTGTCCCTTCCTACACGCGTGTCTGTCTGTGGCTCCGTGAGCACATGCGTGTGAAACCCATGATATTCAAAGATTTTGCTAGTTCACCAATTAATCTCAGTGCTACACTTCACCTTCTCGGCTCCTGCAGACACGACAACTCAAACAGAAGTCTTCAGAGTCTCACGTAGATCAGATTAGATTTTTTTTTTTCTTTGAAACATAAAAAATCTCTGGCACTGCCACGGCTTGCGAGCGTTCTTAAAATAGTGAGCCATGTACTTAATTACCGTATGACAATAGTTATGATTTTTTTGTGTAGTTTGAACCTAATGTTGCACCACAAAAAGAATCCTGCTTCAAAAACATTAATAGGATATAGCCATTTTCCATCATCTCCATTTTCTTTATTTGCTCTCACTTCTGAAGCAGGCTGTCCAGCGCCCACAACTGCTCCTCTCCCCTTCCTTCTTCTGCACTTCAAGGAACTTTAAATACACAAGCAACACTTGAGGAGCACACAGCAGTGTCTTCTAGTTCCCACTGCCTTCATTTTCATGCAGGGAGCATCCCCAAAACTAAGGTTTATTGGTCTGTAGCTCTAGTGTGTGAACTCCTCAGGACAGAGCTCCCTTCTCTTCCACACGTGTGCAGTATCCACAGGCCGGTGCAAATTGGGCTCTTGGATGCTGCCACCACGTAATTAACACTAACAATTACCTGTAATCACATTGCCCTGCACATCTTCATCTCATCTTCCTGCTCTCCCGTTATCTTAAAGCCTATGCCTTTGCAATGTCAAACAGAAAGCCCAATTCTGCTGAGGCTGAGACACCTGTAATGAGGAGGGGGGCTGTGGTCTGCACCTCTTCCTAGAATGAAAAGGAAAAGGAATTTAAACTTCCTAGGAATAAAAGCAGGTGGAGTAGCAGATTCCCACCCAGGAATTTACATTTACACCTTGGCCTGATTTGTGGCACAAACAAACATAGAACTGCAGGAGAGGGGAAAGCTTTCCCCTGAATGGGTACAGATGTACAGAAGCCCATTGCTACAAGTTTTTAATAATCCCAGCTGGCTAGAAGTGGTGTGGTCATGGGACTGGTGCAGGCTGGAGAGGTTTCACCTGCTGTTGCCTACCCCGTCCCAGTTACAGGTATGAACAGACAAGGAGGCATTGCCACTCTGGGCACAGAGGGTTCATCAGGGGGCTGCTCAGTGGGGCAGGTACTCCCCCAGCGCAGCCGTGCCTCAGTTTCCCTGCCTAGTAACCTAGTGTGAACACCACGAGTGAATGGCAGGAGTTAGGACCCAGCCCTCGGCCCAGAGCCTGAACCAGATCGACTCTGAGCTACCCCAAAATGCTGATTTCTCCCCGAGGACCACGGAGTGGTTTCACATCTGAAACAGCGGCCGCTGGCAGAGGCAGTACTTCAAGCCTGCTCGGCGCAGCAGGGGGATGCGGGAGCCCCCCTCTCCTCCCTGAGCCCCTCTGAGACACCAGCCTGGCCCCGCTGGACCATCACCCACCCCGGCGGGGCTGCAGGTGGGTCAGGGGAGGGACAGAGGCGGGCGGGGGCTCTCTGGACCCCGGGGGACAGAAGCTGCCATGTGCGGTCGCATCCTTGATGGTCTGGGTGCCAGGGCTCCGGACTGACCCCAAACCACCTCACCGCGCACCCCCCAACCCACCCCGGGGCGGGTAACGGGAAAACCCCGTCGGCGGGAGGTTGGGATGGAGGGATGGAGGGATGGAGGGATGGAGGGATGAAGGGAGCCAACGAGGAGGGGAGGGGGGCGCGGGGGCGGCGTGCCAATGGCTGCGCTGCCCCCTCCTCTGCCCCCACCCCGCCGCCGGCCCCTCCGCCCTCCCCGTCCGACCCTCCTCCTCCTCCCCGCCGCTCACTCCGCGCCGTGAGGCTCGGGAGAGCGGCCCGGCTCCGCGCCCGGCGCAGCCCTCCGCCGGCTCCGCGCTGGGAGCCAGCAGGTCTCCCCGGGAAAGCGCGGAGGGCTCGTTGAGGGGGGGGTTTGGGGAATGCCGGAATGCCCGGACCGCGGGGCCAAGGCGGCCCCCATCCATCATAAAATCTCCTTCTCCATCTTAGACATCCTGGATCCTCAGAAATTCAGCAGGAGACGCGAAACGGCCGGGGGGAGCCGGGGCAGCGCCCCCCGCTCGGGCGAACGGGAGAAAAGTTTGGGAAGAGTTGAAGTAGGAAAAGACGCTGCTGCTCCCGGCAGCGGGAGGAATAAACTAGAGGCACATGGTAGGAACGCGCTCGAGTTTTCTCCGGCCGGCGCTGGCGGGGCGAGCAGGTGGAGGAGGCGCCGGTGGAGGGGGACCCCCGGCCCCCCGAACCCGGCGGGGTGCGCTCCCGGTGCGGGGCTCCCGCAGGATGATGGAGCGGGCATCGCGGGGGAACGGGGAGGGGATGGGAGTGTGTGTGTGTGTGTGAGGGGGAGCTGGAGCCGTATTTTAAATCTCGGTGATGCAAAGGGAAAAGTTCTCGCTGTCCCGTCCCCCTCTCCCCCCCCGCCCGCCCCGGTGTGCGGAGCATCCTCCGCGCCCGAGGAGGACGGGGCATCCCCGTCCCAGCCCGGATCCCGGCGGCTCCAGCCAGGGATCCAGCCCACGGGGGATTTTTTTTCCGCCCGGGGGAGGGAGGGATCGGCCGCCCCCGGCCCCCCGGTCGGCCCTGACCGGG